ATCCTATTTATGTGATTGTCCAATCCATGTGATTATCCTATTTATTGATTGTCCAATCCATGTGATTATCCTATTTATGTGAATGTCCAATCCGTGTGATCATCCTATTTATGTGATTGTCCAATACACGTGATTATCCTATTTATGTTATTGTCCAATCCGTGTGATTATCCTATTTATGTGATTGTCCAATCCGTTCGATCATCCTATTTATGTGATTGTCCAATACACGTGATTATCCTATTTATGTGATTGTCCAATCCGTGTGATTATCCTATTTATGTGATTGTCCAATCCATGTGATTATCCTATTTATGTGATTGTCCAATCCATGTGATTATCCTATTTATGTGATTGTCCAATCCATGTGATTATCCTATTTATGTGATTGTCCAATCCGTGTGATCATCCTATTTATGTGATTGTCCAATCCATGTGATTGTCCTATTTATGTGAATGTCCAATCCATGTGATTATCCTATTTATGTGATTGTCCAATCCATGTGATTATCCTATTTATGTTATTGTCCAATTCGTGTGATTATCCTATTTATGTGATTGTCCAATCCATAAACATGTTGTATTCACAATCTATTTTTAATTCCCCTTTCATATGTAACTCACACCCCTTGAGTGAATGGTTTTTCCCATTTTGAAGTAAGTTGCCATGACCTATCCTATTAGGGTGTCACTGTCAGATAACAGATTGTTGAAATACACTGACCTATCTAAAGGTTATGTCATTCCATTTAAATCTTTTGAGGGCAATTTTTTCCATAACTAAAATTATAGTAAATCATTTTGAAATTTCTTTGTATTTTCCTCCAACTTTCTCATTTGCTACAGGTCTGGAAAAAAAGGGGAAAAAGATGCAACTTTGATTTGTGACTTTGAAGTTGAAAAGTTATCAAATTATTACAACTGATATGTTACAAACATCCAAAATTGTATTTGTTTACTTTTGTTGATACCAGTTTGGCATAGCTTTGTCAAATACAACAGAAATGTTGTTTCTTAAAGTTTATTTACCAATTTGATGTCAACATTTGTCATCGCCTTTCACAAACTAATCTTGTATACTCTTTTTTTTCCATATGTTTAAAAAAATAAACATTTTGACCCGATTGGTTAAAAATCAACAAAAACAAAATCAGAAAAAGAATACAAAAATACAGAATTGTACAAAATGATGCATGAATTATTTAACTTCAAAAAATAGTATGTTAAGAGGGTTTAAAAATTTAATATTAAAGTTTAAAAAGGTGTTGAGGCTGGTAAAACCAACAGTGTACTATTATTTTGTTGTCTTAGGTATAATATCCTAGTGGTATGAGGTGAGTGAATGGTTAAAAAATGTATAATCAGTGTTTAATAATTTGTTTAAAAAAGTTGTTTGAATATTTTATCATTGGGATATAAGGTGAAAAGTGTATAGTTAAATATTTTTTTCCCTCTTTTCCTGCATTTTCTACATTTCTTAATATTTATCTTTGATCCACTCTTTTCCTGGATTTCCAACCATTATAAAATGTAATTTTTTTGATTTTTTTCTACCTCTTTCAAAACACTGTACTTTTGCACTGTTTGATATACTGTATTATCACATATATATGTGTATGTTCCAGTAGAAGTGTATCTATGCTATGTTCACATGCACAGTCCCTCTATAGACTGGTCCCATAACATATTGAATTTCTTTAAAACAGCGCTCATCATTGATAATTAAATGATTCTCATTAGTCGTGCATTTCATTAACACAGAACATGTCACTACTTGCAGAAATCAAAAACTGATGGTGAGGGAAATGCTTATGATGGATCTTAGAAAATAAATATATCGGAATCTATCCTGAACTTTCCCACCCAATGAAAACAATGTAATACAACCCTATCCAAACTATTGATCTAAGGATTTTAGAATTAAAGGATTATTGCAGGGTTCAAACTGATTTTTTAGGTTGTCCATATCAAAAATAAATTTGTCGCTGAGTGACAAAAATTGATACGTGTAATATAATGCTTTAGACCACTGGTTTTGTTCATGGCTAAAGTTTCGGCATATGTTAATGACTTCAACTAAGTTTAACGAATAATAATAAATCAGGAAAAAGATCGTGATTTTGTTCATCATGCATGTCTACCAGACAATCTTCACGTACTTCCCAGTACCCGTACCAAGCATTATTGAATATTAAATTGAAATATTTCTCACCTCAAATTGTTATTTTGTGACTGGTCTGTAGTGTGAGTGTGGCATATTATTCCCCAAAATGTTTGATTTCATTGTATTTTAAGGCTTTGTCACCCACACAAATATGGCACTTTTCACAGAAATATGTTAAGGATATAAACCATATTTGTCAATTGAAGCACAGATTTAATAACAATGCAATTTCTAAAATTTACCTTTAGAACATCACGCAATTGTCTCGCCAAACTTTGCTGCGTTAATTTTGAACCAAATGAACATAAATCGGCTTCAAATCTAAAATCTAATTTCCTATTGTAAAAAATATGAAAATATGAAAGGTTTTATTTTGTGAAACACAACGGTTAAGCAAATTATGATTCTACTGAACAAAATATATGTTAAAATTTGAGTTTACCCTTTTGTATATGCACTCCTATTCAAAATATACTTCTAATAGAGAAAATACAGTACCTCTGATTAGATTATTATAATTTAATTCTTGTTTATCAGGTACTTCCCTCACACTCTCTAAGCAGCGAAAGTTTATCAAAGTTTTATACCTATACAGAAGCCATTGAGGAAGAGTTTCAGGTAAGATCATATCATATGTTATATCTTTAAATGCAATGACTTTCAGATAGTCAGAAATTACTTTAATTTAGGGCTGAATTAATAGATTTTAGACACTGCAAGTTCTCATTGAGAGTGAGAGAGCCACAATTTTTTTCACCATTCTCTCTCAGTTATCTTGTTACTGCTCCAAAAAACCATGGTTACATCATCAATAGAAAAGTAGACATGATGACAGGAGACAATGTAACAAAATTTTGAGAAGCACAAACAAGACTTGTGGTTTTCTCACTGTCCACGAGATTCTAGTGGTCATTGCATCCTTAGTATGGGAATACCACAATATGGGATGGTCATTTATTTATTATTTGTAAAGACACTCCACGCGGTTAACGAGTGAAAGGCAAAGACAAGTTTATTGAGAAAGACAACTTACAGACACAAACTACAAAACTAATAAAATTACAAATCACTAAAATACAATTCATTAAACTACAAAATTGGATTTTGGGATTCAAAAGAAGGAGGGGGAAAACCTGTATGAGGCTGCCCGACCTTGAAATGGGGGTCAGGATGAAATCCAATGCCCAAATGAGGTACACGACCTGCTGGTGGAGCGAAGTAACACCCATGAAATAAAGAGACCTGAAAGAAAAATAAAGGGGTAGTAGGGGTGACTCAAACTTGAACAGACCAAGGAGTGGTGCAGAGGGAACGGATGTTTACGGTCTGCGTGGTCTGCTCAAGAATAAAGTAACTAAACTGAACTTCTCACGCCCCAGCGGACATGAACTAAGTGGCACAGGGTGAGGTAGTAACCTCGCGGCCTATGGGACAGCCATGTGTGGCCCGTGATGCAGGTGGTAAAAGTACGAACGCGGTTTACGGAGATGCTAGGACGATAAAGGTTTCTCTTGAAAGCTGTTAAGGTGCGTGGATTTAGGTCCGGTAGCAGTCACTGGTCCATCTTCCGAAGATTTTGATAAGATGGTCTGAAATATGACGCGTTGCAGCAGTTGTAGCAGCTCCAATACGGAATGAATGACCGGCATAAATAAGTGGATCATGACCCAGCCGCGTTAGCAAGAGACGTAGCGCATTGATAACAAATTCCCTGTGGAGTGGGGTTCCTTCTGGTAGAGCCAGTAGTGGGTCATTAGGTAGTGCGTTCATTTGGTAGCGAACAGACAGGAGATGACACATTGTGGTGACCGGACAAACCACGTTGCCTGTTGGAAATAATTGCAGGTGAAAACCTTGACGGAACTGGTCTGTCTTTGAAGACTTGATGTGCACTGTTACAGAGTTCATTGAATCTTTTTTTATTATTGATGATGACATTCTTTATGCAGTAGAGATGAATATTGGGATTGAACGCATTCACTGGGGCAGTAAACTCGCTGCAGCGCAAGAAGCCAAAAAAGGCAAGGGTGAACGATGACTGCAAAAGTAAATCTGTGTAGCTGCCATATACACCGCTTTGCAGAAGCACACACAATTGCTTAAGGATGTCCACAGTTATGGGCAAACGCGGGCGAGGTGGAGAACCCTGTATCCGGTGAATCCCTCTCAACACACGGGATAGACGAGTGAACTCCAAGCCCTCGGATGTGATTATGGGGTTTCCATAACCTCCCTGAATGTAGTGGTTTTGAAATGTTGCGTGGTAAACTTTAATCGTAGAAAGTTTCAATCGCAGACTGGAAGCACAGTGAGCTGCAAAGTAAATGACAGTGTCCTCTGAAATATCTGGATAGGATGCTGCAGCACCAGGTAACTGTTGCATAGGGTGCTGAGGGAGGCATCCTGAAAGTGCGAAATAGCATCATTTAGCCGAACATTATTTCGCAAGGTATTGGGCACGGCTGTTCTTGTGCGAGTGGGGCTGCTTCCCGGAAACTACGAACCTGCAAACCTGATAGAGAATCAGCAATAATGTTAATGGACCCAGGTATATGTTCTGCCTGGAAAGTGAAGCTAACGGTGGCTGCTAGAATGACTAGGTGGCGCATGAGTTTTATTAAAGCTGGTGACTTTGAACACCCTTTGTTAGGGGAGAGTAGGAAATCAAACAAGCAGTGCACCGCAGTCATTACCGCGGTGGTGGTGGGTGCTCGCCGGTCGACCACATTTTATGCAAAAATAAAGGATAGATTCCATGACGCCGGCTGACCGCGGTCTTCCGCGGTGGGCTCGCACAGCAATTCACACTTATTGTCAAGACCATTTGTGAACACAAAGAACTGGGAAATTAAAAGGATCACAAAGTTCTAATGAAAAATTAAACCAATTTGGCTGAGCCAAAAGCTAAGAAACTAGTCTATAGTAGTTGACATTATTTTATTTGCATGAGCCTTGGAATAAAATCACAAAACGATCCAGAAAGACGTAGAGATCAACATAATATAAAATATGATCGCATTATTTTGTGAATATATATCATGCATGGTCTCAGAAAATGTTTAGAAAGATTAATGTTTCGCGTAGACCAAATATAATCACGCATAAGTATAAATTCAAAGTGTTTTAATACATTGGTGAGAGGTTGCATTTACGTGAACAAGAACATGCACTATGAAGATACAATAACATACAATAACATACAATATCATGCGTAATGTTAAATATGTGAATTGAACGCGAATCAAACACGAACTGCGGAATGCTGTCTTCACACTCGTTTGTCGTTGCCTCGTTCTTGAACGATTGAGTTTGTGTGTTCGTTACTCCACTTCTGCTTGGAGTGCCGTTCATAATTTCCTGTGCAGATAGTCGATTCAGTTGGGAAACGGTCGACGAATTCTGCGCTGCAGTCAATAAATTTGCAATCGAGGCTTGCAAGTCATTGATCATTGCTGGAATTACTGGTTGTACATTCCCCGTTGACTCAATTGTACCATGCGAAGGGCCTGATTGAGCGATGGTGGGTAAGGACGGCTGCATCATGGCTGCGGCAAGTTGGTTGGGTGTCGGTTTTGAACAGGATCACGTCACTGGCCTCGAATACGGTTGTATTCTTGTTGAAACACCACTGGTTTTCCTTGACTGACACCCTTTTCCTCTAAGAGCCATGGTATTTTTTTGAAAAAATGCGATTGTTTGACAAGGAGAATGCAATTATTGTAATAACGAGCAAAGAGAATACAATGCTTGAGCAGTGCCGCGTAAAAAACAATGAATGAAAACTGCTGAACAAAAGAAAACAAAGGAGGTAGGAACGCTTCAATCCGTGTGCACAAGCTGTCTATGATTGGCTGGCGAAAATAAGCTGATTGGTTGACAAAGATGTGAGCTGATTCGTCGAAATAAACAGCCTGTGATTGGCTGAGAGCAGAGCATCCTGAATCCTAGAATTGTATCAAGCTCAAGGGTTCCATGTCCTTACAAACTCACACTTGTGCAAGCACAAGTGAACAATTAATTTCACTACATCAAAAAATGCAGCTACAAACAGTAAAAAAACAATTTCAAGAAATTAAAAGTTAGAAAATCCCATTATTTTTGTTATAAATACTCATATCTGAAATTTATGACTAAAATATTTTGAGAGAGGACAAATTTTTATTAATTGATTGATTCAAGAAACTAGAAAATTATTATTATTTATTCTTGCAGATGTGACAAGAATATTGAGGTCTTGACTCTTTTCAATAGAATTTAAATAAAATTTGATCCAAACTTGAAAGGAATGAAGTATTACCATGTGTGTCAACGTAAATGTTATCTGTATCACTTTACAGATTTTTAGATTATTTCTTTTTTTTGTAGAGTCTTCCAGATCCTGTTGCAAAAACAAGTGAGATGCCATCAGGAGTTGAGAAAAAGAATCGTTACAGCAATGTTATACCCCCAGCAAAGAGCAGAGTTCAGTTGACGACTAGAATTGGTGAGACCAACTCTGAGTATATTAATGCGAACTTTGTCAAGGTAGGAGAAGTACATTGTAGCTATTCATGTTGCCGAACTTTTAATTTTGTTTAAAACAAATGTTAATGTTAGTAATCAACCAGATATGTTTTCCAAATTTCCCAAAAAATTTCTCCAAAGACAACTGAACAAGAGAACAGTATATCATAATGTGCATAATAGTTTCCGCTTCCCATTCACAGAATAGTAAATTGTAACTTGCACTTTGAGATTTCTAGTTTTGGAACATCATGTTTCTAGTATGTTCATTTAGGTAACAAGGAAATATAGAAGTTGCTGCAAAAAAACGAAAGCGATGCAATAAAATGTTTAACCACTAGAAAATTATTTCTGTATATCTTAAAAAAAAGTTTCAAAGATAAAAATATTGTTATAATTTGTTGTTGTCATATGTAATGTAGTAAAGTGTTTGCAAGAAATACACGTTTGCCGGCTTGTCATTGAACAAAACTTCACATATAATGGCTGACGTAATAAAATTGAGAGCTACAGCTGCTGATAGTTTAATAAGTGATAGCAAATTGTAGATACCGGTAATATCAACATTTCATAATTATGACATCATTATTGTTCTTTCACTTTTCATTTTCTTTCACTTTTCATTTTCCCAAATTGCAATTTTTTCAACAATTTAATGAATGTGCATTGTCAAAATAATTCTGTTGCCAGGGTTACAATGGCCAACGAAAAGCATACATAGCAACACAGGCTCCTTTAGAGAATACGTTGGAGAACTTCTGGCGGTTGGTATGGGAACAACAGTCTAGGGTCATAATAATGTTAACAGACATACAGGAAAACGGCATTGTAAGTTTATTTATTTATTTATTTATTTATTACCTTGCCCGTACCATCAAAGATGGAAGGGAAAGGTATATTAAGGGAAAGATTTTGTCCGGCGTTGTCGTCGTCGTCGTCGTTGTCGTCGTTAATAATTGTTATTGTGTGCATGATAACTTTACTAATTCTATTCCAAACTTCATCAAACTTGGTCACCTTGTTCATCAGTATAAAGTCTTCCCTGAGTTTGAACAACAGATGTCCTGTATGAAAATATCATGCAAAAATTGAGAAAAATATTTCGACTGTTTCTACTTGACTGATCACTGGTGATACACATCAAAGGTCACTGATCTCAGTGGAAATATGCTTTGTTGTATGTGTTCAATAAAGCAAATGATTTATCTTGTAATAATATCCTTGGTAATGTATCTCAGAATCCCTTACTGGGTTTCAAAACCAACTCATGGAGAGATTGCACAGTCTGATACACATTTGCAAACCTACCAATAAATCTTTACAGAAAACAAGATGTCAGAAAATCAATATAAGCACTGCTATGAACTGGGTGCCAAACTTTGATCAAGATCTGAAGCTAATAGAAAATCTGTTTAGTTCAAAGTTATCAAATCAAAAACAATACATAAAAAATACATAAAAGCAAAACATTTCATCCACATTTTAAAAAGAAAATTGTTCTAAAATATATGTATTCTGTATTTGACAAACAGTTCATTCGACAAATGAAAACTCACAGGAATATGTTTCAGCTATTAGAACAGAATGATAGAGTTTTTATAATACTAGTTTAAAAACTCACTTCAAACAAAGATTGCAGTGTTTGAAGATGTAGGTTCTCAGGAGGCAACAGTACTGTTGACTTCTCCCTCCACTGGACACCAACTAACTATTTAAAGCAGAGCTTGCAACATGATAGCTATTCATAAAGGGTGTTTTTTTTTTTTACTTTTCATATAATACAGTAGTCACACAATGAGGCAGTTCATATTTGTCTCAGTGAATCATTAATTTTTGACAGACACCTGTACAAAATACTTGGACAAAAGCCAGCTAAGATTTTCTGTTATCTTGCATGTTTTATGAATCTATTCACGTCTAAATGCAGCACTTTTTTTTTGCAATGAGGCATTTGTTTTTATACTAAAATATCTGAATTACTTTGAATAAAGCTGGAAATTATGTCCCTTAAAATAATTAAACAAATAAGGCACCAATGTTTTTGTAAGATATTTACATCTTTAAAGGACATTCGGTAGACTGATTCCCCACTGTTAGTTCAACCCCAAAACTTTTTTGTATTCAAAATTAATTATGACAATGTATATTTATATTGAAACAAACTACTGTAAAATGACTAATATTCACTGGGTTTAAATTTCACTGATTTACCATTTCAGGCATATTCAGTGGGTTTTAAATTCACGGTTTCGTCATTTAGATAATGTGTTCTATGCTAAATTTTACATATTCACTGTGTTTTAATTTAGCGCATTTTTCCAGTCAGCGAAATAAGCTAAATTAAAACCCAGTGAATAATTACCCCCTTTACAGTATGTTAAAGGGAATTATATTATATAACAAAGGGCAAGGTCACCAGAGTTCAACTATGTTTTATTTATTGTGCTGTACATTATCTAGTTTCAGTTGGATTTTAGTTTCACTGGAAACAATGCATGTGGAATGTTGTGTGTAAGGATATTTTACTTTGATCTTGTGGTGAAATCTTACTGGGAAGTAAAATATGGTTTTTATTTTGACTGACAGCTTTTTATGTTGTCAGTCTTTGTTGCTCCATCTTTTGAGACAAAGTAGTCCTCTTATTTAGACTGATTTCAAGAGTGTACAATTAAAGATTTAATGTAATTGTCATATTCTATGCTACATGAAAATATACAAAGAAATAGATCAATACACCATCAGTGAATAAGTCAACAATTATATACTAATTTAGATATTATGTCACATGACTCTGAAATATGCAAAAAAAAAGTGATGCATGTCAAAAATTGATTACAGGAGAAATAGTTTAACAGAATTCTATTATTGTATATGACATGTCAGCTGGCAGTACACGGATAAATCAAAACATATTTAAACTTTCGAAGTTGTAAGAATTTTTACTGTTTGTAATTTTTACAGGATGTAGTAGACTTAACAGTCACTATTTTATACATTTGTTGTTTATTGTCTAGTTTGGTGGCATTTGTCTATCTGCATGCAATGGATGTGTTTCCCACTCAAAATAGTAACCACTATACCCAAAAAAGGCATTTTTAACAAAAAAGTCAGGATATGTGTTTATAACAGCAGACCGTTCTGCCTTTATGCTCAAACTATAAATATTGACCTAATTTGCATAAATTGGCCTACTTAGCAATGGAAACAATGCACACACGCCCTGTCTCTGTGATCGTTCTATATTAGTACACCATGTGTGACACATCCAAAAATTAGCGCTCCTTAAAATTGTTATCAGAATTATTATTAGAAATTAAGAGAAGGAGGGGACCAAGATGGAAGAATACGACTCCAATGTCCAAAGAAGCAAAACTTCGTCTCAAAAATAAACATCGATCGTGGTATGAGTCCAGCGAAAGTTCGAACTCCGACGTTACTGCTGTGATGGTGCAACATTTATCTACATGTATCTCAGACAAGAAATAGAAGAAGCGCCAAGTGCATCAGAAAAGAAATTATTGTCACATGGTGACGATGATAAAATGGCTGAAGCAGATAGATCGCTGAGACTGATCGGTGTCTACATTTTAAATAGCAAACTTTTTCAGCGATTGCGGAAATTAATTCTGACCTAGCCGATTGTTTCAATCGCTCTGGTTGTCGTTGTGGTTAACTTCTGAAAGCGGTTTTCTTCGGCCTGGCATGTTGTTATTATTTGAAAACGATTGATGCTTCTCAAGAAAAATGATCACCCAAATGACAACCCAAATGGCAAATGATGACCCAAATCAAGAAACGTGTCAATCACCTCGCTCCTTATGCAAAGTGTCTCCGTCCAATTATGACGTCAAAGTTTCAGAGCTGAACTGTACTGCATGTTTACTTCCTGTATACCAGACAGGGTTATTTTTTCACAGGCTGGCTTTGGGTATGGCAAGGTACTTTTTAGCTCCGTTGTCGACTTTGTCGAGCGGAGCTTATCAAATGAGTGATTGTCCATCGTCCGTGTCAATGTTTTACTTTTTTGACTTCTTCTTGAAAACTACAAGCCTGAATGCTTTGATACTTGGTGTATATGTACCTTGGGTAGACCTCTCTCAGATTTGTTCATTTCATGATGATATCTTCAATTCTCTAATTTTGGTGAATATTTCTGTCATTTTTGGTAAAAAGTGATATTTTCGACTTCTTGTTATAAACCGCAAGTCCAATAGCTTTGATATTATATATATTGGTACTACATGTGGACCTCTCTCAGGTTTGTTCATTTTGTAATGATATCTTTAGTTCTCTAATTTTGGTGAATATTTTTGTCATTTTTGGTAAAAAGTGATATTTTCGACTTCTCGTTAAAAACCGCAAGTCCAATTACTTTGATATTACATATATAGGTACTACATGTGGATCTCTCAGATTTGTTCATTTTGTAATGATATCTTTAGTTCTCTAATTTTGGTGAATATTTTTGTCATTTTTAGTAAAAAGTGATATTTTTGACTTCTTGTTAAAAACCGCAAGTCCAATTGCTTTGATATTACATATATAGGTACTACATGTGGACCACTCTCAAATTTGTTCATTTTGTAATGATATCGTCAATTCTCTAATTTTGGTGAACTTTTTTGTCATTTTTGGTAAAAAGTGATATTTTCGACTTCTTGTTAAAAACCGCAAGTCCAATTGCTTTGATATTACATATATAGGTACTACATGTGGACCTCTTTCAGATTTGTTCATTTTGTAATGATATCTTTAATTCTCTAATTTTGGTGAATACTGCAGCACTTCTAAGATTTACTGTTTAGTCTTCTCATATATCTACTGCAAGTGTTTATACCAGTATAAGCTATACAATGACACATGGTAGTTCTGTGAACTAGACACCACTAGGAACAATCGATTGATGTTACAAGTCTAGTGAACACTTTGCAAACCCATTGAACAGAATAATTATTCCTGCTGAAATTTTGAAGCGAAATTTTATCCATTTTTATGTATTTTATTAATTTTAGACCAAATGGATATAGTGTTCTATGATGTCTTGGTCAAAATATTTGAAAAAATATGTAAGTTTTTTTTGTGAAAGGTGAATTTATTTTCATTATTATTATTTTTTTATTCATTCATTTAGAAAAAGTGTTACCAGTATTGGCCAACTCAAAAAGAAGGTTTGTTGTCCTCTCATCTCTATGGCGATTATCTGATCTCAGTTGAGGAAATACAAAAGAAGGAATACTGTACGGTGAGCACATTGCTGATGAAGGACATTGAGGTTAGATATTAAACAATTATCAATTTTATTAAAAAGATGTGAATATTATAACAGGTGAATATTTATATTAATAAAATTATGATATGATGGGCAAACATTTACAACAAATTAGAGACCACACAATTTTTCGAGATACAAGAGTAAAAAATGTCATGAAAAAAAAGTCCAAATTGGCATTTTTGTACTAGTTTCCATGGTGAAATTATTTCTTCATACCTTAAATTTTGCTCAGTGACAAGAAATGACAAAGTCATATATTATTATTGACATGGTTCCTAATATTGTGAAAACATTTTAACAAATTTATGGATAATTTAGTGAGTTTCCAGGGTGATTTTCCATTCCTGGTATATACAATGGGAGGTTAACTCCCACAATGCATTGCATATATGTGCAGTAACATGCTCAGTAGTGCAAAATTTAAATTTGGTTAAATTTCCATACAATGATCGCAATTTGCATTTTCCAACAGAAAATATGATATCCATAGTCTATCACACCTCATGAATATTTTATGATTCGACTACATTTAGAGTTTGAGAGAATTGTATGTTTTATTTTGTGTTTTATTTTCATCGTAGAAAAAGGTAAATCTTTTTTTTTTTTTTTCCTTCATTAAGAAAAATTTGTGTCGTAGGCTGACTCATCACTGGTTCACGGCATGGCCATATGACAACGTTCCTGACCAACCTGTATCTGTTGTGTCTTTTTTGCTGGATACCAGACAATACATCCATGAACATCATGGCCCTGTTATTGTACATTGCAGGTAAGTTGCCATGGTTATGTATTTGTTTATTCCTGTAAATATGGGAGTGAAAACCCAATATAAAGTTAAATATTAAAGCCAAAAAATCTTTTTTTGCAATTGACACTAGCGAATGTCATCTCATTTTTCTGATATTGATTTTTATCTTGCCCGTACCATCAAAGATGGAAGGGAAAGGTATATTAAGGGAAAAATTTTGTCCGGCGTTGTCGTCGTCGTCGTCGTTAATAATTGTTATTGTGTGCATGATAACTTTACTAATTCTATTCCAAACTTCATCAAACTTGGTCACCTTGTTCATCAGTATAAAGTCTTCCCTGAGTTTGAACAACAGATGTCCTGTATGAAAATATCATGCAAAAATTGAGAAAAATATTTTGACTGTTTCTACTTGACTGATCACTGGTGATACACATCAAAGGTCACTGATCTCAGTGGAAATATGCATTGTTGTATGTGTTCAATGAAGCAAATGATTTATCTTGTAATAATAACCTTGGTAATGTATCCCTTACTGGGTTTCAAAACCAACTCATGGAGAGATTGCACAGTCTGATACACATTTGCAAACCTACCAATGAATCTTTACAGAAAACAAGATGTCAGAAAATCAATATAAGCACTCCTATGAACTGGGTGCCAAACTTTGATCAAGATCTGAAGCTAATAGAAAATCTGTTTAGTTCAAAGTTATCAAATCAAAAACATACATAAAAAATACATAAAAAGCAAACATTTCATCCACATTTTAAAAGAAAATTGTTCTAAAATATATGTATTCTGTATTTGACAAACAGTTCATTCGACAAATGAAAACTCACAGGAATATGTTTCAGCTATTAGAACAGAATGATAGAGTTTTTATAATACTAGTTTAAAAACGCACTTCAAAGATTGCAGTGTTTGAAGATGTAGATTCTCAGGAGGCAACAGTACTGTTGACTTCTCCCTCCACTGGACACCAACTAACTATTTAAGGATGTAGTAGACTTTCGTTGGGCAAAACAGAAAAAGCTTGATTAAAATAATAATAATGATTAATGACTAACAATTTTTACATGGTATTGTAGCCCTTGCAACACTCTATCCAAAAATTATGATAACGCTAATGTCAACATTAATTACGTCACGTGACTGCTAAATAAACAAAATCGATTGTTCTGCTATTTTTACTGCTACTAGAAAACGAAAACAGTTAGCCAACATATTTTTATGAGAAAAGGAAGACTACAATGTTCTAAACAATAATGTAAAAGAGATAGTTTCTGAATTGTTTGGTTCTTTTACAAAGTGGTGGAGAAGAATTCTGTAATAAATTAGAGTGCTCTTTTTTCACAGGTCTATTAGTAATGAAATATTACTGATACTTGAAAAATATTTTACATTTTGTTTTCAATTGATCTTGAGTTCAATCTCTGAAAAAATCAATGAAATCGGACAAGAACTGTTCGCGTAATCGTGATTTTTGTGGTTTTAGACACGTTACGTTTCAAGTGGCTGAAAAGTCTCAAAAACCAAAAGTAGCACAGTCGAGAGGATATTTTCTGTTCAGCGCATCGTATTCAGTTAATTTTTGATTTTTAGGATAGCTACTGTGTTGGTTTTATAAAATCAAAACAACCCGTTTGGTACAGGCCGATAAAGTATGAAAAATCGATAATTTGAAAAAGCAACGTGAAAACGAAGTATGG